TTGTCAATTACCTTTATGCATTTTCCTTGATTCTGGATTGTTTTGTTTGGTCGTGGACTGATTATGCTTGGGTTTAATGTATGTAGACATGTTTATTCTGGGTTTTGTATTATTATTTCCGTTTAGTTTGACTTGAATATGTGATTTTCACTTGGTTATTCTCGTGGGGTTGAGAGGTGTTATCCAAGCCCTGTTGGGTTGGTTGATGTCGCTCTGGTCCGAGTCTCTTAGCGAAAGAGTTAAGGCTATGGGTTTCCACGCTGGGGTGTAGGGCTTTGGGGTATTGATTATATTTGGTTCTCTTGTTTTTCATTTGGGTTTGTTTCTTATGTTCTTGATTTAGGTTTGTTCTTTGTGTTGTTTGTTTTGTTCCTGGAGTTTTACTGTTGTTCCAGTACTATTTCAGTTTGGATTATATAGTTTGAGTTGTTTAAGTTTGTTGCCTCTGAATAGAGGTAATTCCATTTTCACACTAAGCAAAGACGTCATGTACCTATAGATATGGATCGAAGTTGGATAAATGCCAAACGTATAGAAGAAGAATATGAATTAGGGGTTGAAGAGTTCTTAGAGTTTGCACAGAGAAATGTGGGTAACAATAAAGGTCTCTTTTATTGTCCTTGTGTGAAGTGCTTAAATTTAAGACAACTAAGTGTGAAGGATATAAGAGCGCATCTCCTTTGTGATGGATTTTGCAAGAGTTACACTAAGTGGATTTGGCATGGGGAAGTAGTAGATTTCCCCATGGCTTCAGAGACAACTGAAATCCAGAAAGAAACCAATGATCGACTAGAAGATTTGATACGTGATATCGGTGAAGAGCCATTTGACACCAACTTGTCTAAAATGCAATTAACATGATATTTTCAATTTCTAGTTACCTCAACAAAGTTGTTGTGGAAAAGGGAGTAGAAGATGTCTATGGATTCATTGATCCTGTCCACATTCAGAGTTTGGGGAACAAACCAAATACTATTCAAGCATACATTCAAAAGAGATTTTGTGAAGGATCAAAGGAAGTTTATCTCGCACCATATCATTATGGGTAAGTTTTTTTAAATTACTTACTCTCAAACTTTGAATCTCTTAAGAATTGCTAATTGAGCGACATTTTTTGTAGGTCTCACTGGCAACTGCTTATCCTTTGTCCTAAACGTAGTGAGGCTATTTTTTTATGCTCTTTATGGAATAAACGCAAAAAGGAAATTAAACAGATTATTGATGTGTAAGTATACTAACACCCTTATATATGAATCTGTCTTTGTGACTAAATACTCTAGGTCTGGTTCATGACAGATTTAATAACTGTAAACATCCGTGCTTCACTCCTTTGAGCTAAATAGTATCCAGATTTTACTTTTTATATTCATAAGTAAGTATTCATAATAATTGTGCTTCATTCCCAAATCTCGGTCCGAACAACATTCAATTGTTTAAGATGATGTGTAAGTATACTAACACCCTTGTATAATATTTCATTCATTTCATTTTAAGTTCCACATGTCTTAATATGAAGTATTTTCCATTTAATCTTTTATAGGTGTATAGAAGCATGCTCGAGTCATGGAGGGTAAGCCTAAAAAGAAACCCACATGGATACTTCCACATGTAAGCACGTTATCTTTCAAATTCTTAACTTTAATTTACTCATTTTCTGTATTTAATGTTTTTTTTCTTATAGTGTAATAAGCAAAAAGGAAGTTGGGAGTGCGGATATTATGTGATGAGACATATGTTAACAATCATCACAACAAATATCACAGATTCATGGAATTTGGTATGTGTTATGACTATATCTATGTCATTGACATATATTTGCCTACTTGAGCTTATCTCGAAATGTTTTTTGTTTGTTTGTAGATATTCGATGATGGTCATCCAATAAGTGAAGCAGAGATTGATGACATTAGACGACTTTGGGCAGATTTTGTTATTAAGAACTATAGTCGTGATTGAATACTTAATTGTGAAACATTAGGACTATATTCTTTGTATATATAAACTTAGAATACAATACATGTTCATTGTTTGTTGATAACAATGTAGATATATAATATACATTATGTTTACTTGTGTGTTGATGCATGTCCTTTATAGATTAACATTCGAGTAGTTGTAAATATTTGCAATGTTGTACGAGTTATGAAAAATCATAAACTCAAATTCATATTTGAAAAAAATATATGACTTTCCACATCGGTTATGGCCTAGAACCGATGTAGAAAGTCATTTTTAATACTTTCCACATCGGGTCTTGCCATAACCGATGTAGAAAGTCCGATTTTCCACATCGGTTATGGCTAGAACCGATGTGGAAAGTCAGACTTTCCACATCGGTTATGGCAAGACCCGATGTGGAAAGTCAGAGTTTCTACATCGGTTCTTAACCGATGTTAAAACTCACCAAGTTTCTACATCGGTTGTATCTACATCGGTTGTAGAACCGATGTAGAAAGCTGCTAAGAACCGATGTTAAATGTGTTTTCTGTACTAGTGCTTCTCTTCAAAAAGCAAACATTGTCTTAACAATTCTTTCTTTTTTCAAAAAAATAATAATAATCTAGATTTCTTCTTTCATTTTCTTCAAACTTTTTTTCATGAGTTGAACATTGAGAAGTTTTGATAAAGTTGTAACTAGTATTCGGCTTACGTGAGATGATTATTAATCTTTAATTCTTTTCACCTATTTATTTTATTTGATAACACATGTTGGACATTGTGCATCAGATTTCTTCTATAAAGCATGGATAATGTTTTGACTAGAGTTATTCAAGCATTAATCTTTGGACACAAACTATCTTACAGATGTCCTTTTCCTTTTCTTTTTTCTTTTAATATTACCTAGAAGAATAAATAGATCAAGTACATTTAATATATTAAAATAAATATTATATAGTTATCATAATAGTAGTGATAAGATCTAAAAATGGTTAGAAGTAACATGTTTTAATTAGGCTAGCTATAGAGTCTCATCCTTTAAAGAGATGATATAACTATTTAACATTTAAAAAAAAAATCCAACATGTAAAAAAAATGTAACAAATTATTGTTTAACTTAAAATAATTAATCTAGAATGAAAAAAAAAAAAGATACCAGGTGAGGGTTGAATTGTATTTAGTGTTAATTTTTAAACACTTTTCAAACCCCCATGAAAAAATTGTCATAACATTAAGGAATTTTAAAACGCAAAGTAGAATATGAATTGAAATAGTAGATAGCAAAACTCTATATACAATAATTTTCACGTACTATTTGATAAACATGGTTAGAAAAGTAAATAAAAGATTAAAGAATATTAAATTTGTGGTGAAAATCATTAATGTATAAATAAATTATAAAATTTTGGGTCAAGGTCCTTTAACTTTGAAAGAAACTCTTCCCGAACCAGAGGTAGGTGTTATCTATTATGTAAATATATTTAGTATAATAAACAAATATACATGGTTTATGGTCTTAATTATACTAAATATAAAAAGATAAATATAATTAATATTATATAAAAAAATAAGTTCAAAAAAGTTATTTTTCATTTATTGTTTATTTTCTTCAAACGTAATGATTAAAATAATAATGCAAATGATAAATAACTATCTTATATTTATTTTAAAAATAAATTAATTTCTTATCGTCTATATAAATTTAAAATAAAATACTTTTCTCGAGTCTTATTTTATTTTCTTACATACCCTTGTTACGAAACAGAAGAAGAAGTAAAGTAGTTCAAAACACGTCCAACCACCATTCTACAAACTGAATTTTCATAGAATGAATCTGGTACGAAGACAACAAAACTTGCTAAAAGTTCATCATTATTTAACGACAGATTAGTTCGGTCGACATTTTCAAAATCAACAATTGGCTTGAATCAACGACTTGACTATATATATATGGTGGATCTTAATTATTGTTCTCTTTTGTTGCTATCAGATAAATGTTTTTGTCTCCACTTTTCTACCCTTCATCCATAAACCACACTTGCCTTAAGCTTCACTTCATTTTCTGCGCTCGTGGACCCGTCTTAATACACACTACAATAACCCTAATTGTGTGAACACATAAAATCAGTACACTGATTTCAACAAACGAATTTAAAATATGAAACTGTGTCTTAATTGTAATTAAAAATTAGGAGAATAAAAAAGTTCTCTGTTATGATTTAGGGAAGAGTTGGTGACTGGTGACCAGTAAGTAAGTGTACCCTCGCCAAACGCACCATAGGACCCAATGCAAACCTACCACATAAAATTGGTGTGCCCTAATCTCAATCTATGAGTAAAAGACAAAATCTTACATTAATGAACACGTTGATTATTTATTTTTTCAATCAAACAAGTAATAATTAAATTAACTTAACTTACAAGAAGCAAATTAAATTATCAATATTTCATTATACCTATGTCGGATCTTCTCGAGAGCTCAAGAGGACGTGATCCCTTCAAAATTTTATAACTTTAATATAATTTATGATTTTTGTTTCTCAAACCTAATGAACATTTAATATATTTACTTATATATTTATAATTTTATACTCTTAATCCCTCTTCATTGTTGTAATTCTCGTATAATTTATGATTTTATCCTTCTCAAACTTAATGATTATTTAATATATTTAAGTATATTTATACAATCTTATCTTTTTACCCTTTCATTTTTTTTTCTTTTATATTTATTTATTAATAATATATTATTTTCCAGATTAATTATCAATATCGGCCACTGCGTTGAACCGCCCGTGCATGACTTACCAAGACTGAGTTGTATAAAAAAATCAAAATATTCCACGATCTCTTTTTCTATTCCCCAAAAATGTCACAATCCCTATGTTATATGGCCATATATGTCACGAAATCACGATGCGATCAACGCAAAGTATCGGTCATTCTTCTTCTAGGTTTACTAATTTTGGACATTTTTTTTTTCAACAGTGAAAGAATGTTTAATTTCTATATATTCCTATTCGCGATCAATAAAATATCATGATAACCATTTTTAAATCCCACTACTTTTCTAGTAAAATGGCAAAAGAACGTAGAATCGAGATTTCACACAAATGATTCGAATCTCCTTTTATTAGCCACTTTAGTGGAGCATTCTTACAAAGCTTGAGGACTTGGTGTATTTTTTGAATATATATTAATATATTAATCAATATGGCTGAACAATGCTTCTTTGAATAATTATCAAATTATTATATTATCACCATCCTTGGAACACAGGCTGTTAATTTTTTGTTGGTTATTGTTCTGTGCTTCTGCCGGTGGTTGTAGCGGTAATATAAGTTGCAACGCCTTCCGGGTTCTTGGCCAACGACCGTGCGACACGTCAGCAAATAGAATCGTTAGAAGAAGAAAAGAGCTTAAAAAAAAAAGGATCGGGTCGTAACCGTTTCTCTCTGTTTCACTATACTGCATGTTACGCGCACGCGCATGAGAGAATAAATATCAATAGTGCTTCTGTTTTTTTGTTTTTTTGTTTTTTGTGGGTATCGTTTCCGTTTCTCTCTATGCACGATGGTTTGAAGGAACAATAAAATAACACCCTTCGCAACAATGACCACTGAGCTAACGCTTTCTCTCTCTCTTCGTCTCTTTCGCCAGTTGGTGATGGTGGTTGCGCTGAAGCTGATGAAATCATGAATATGACGAATTTTGGTAATTGTGGAGAATGAGTGAATGATTGAGAAAGAACGCGCTACAACACACTCGCACACAGAAACACAGTCAGAAGAGAAAGAGAAAAGGAGAAGAGAATGTTTAGGTTACATAAGCACAGGGCACCGAAATCAGGAGACAAATTTGAGTTCAGAATCTCTCATCTTAAGGCGCTGCAGGTTCGTTTCTTCGATTTCGTGTTGTTATCTCTCGTTTCGTTTTATGTCGATCAATGTGACTAGTGTAGTGTCTATCTGTGCTTCGTCTTTTGCTTTGTCTGCTTCGTCTTCGAAATTATTGATCTGCAGTGATGATTCGTAGGTGTAACGCGATATGCAAAAGAATCCTTGATCCTAATTTGGAAACTAGCAGACATTGATTTAGTGATGTGATTTTATTTTAAAATGGAAAGTTGTTGTACGAAGTGCTTCGTGTTTGGAAAGAGAATCATCGAGTGGACTCGGAATATATTTGGGAGTTAATGAAATCTGAGTAAAGGTGATTAAATAAAACAGTGAGATCTCACAGCTGTGTTTGCTTGTAAATTTCAGCTAATAATAGAGTGTATCACTAGCCACATTGGGTTTGTGGTTATGATTAAACTTAGAAACAATTTCTTAGGTAATGTTTGTGTAATTCTTTATTCAGAAGTGGTCCTCTGAATAAAAGATTACATTTGAATTTTTCGCAAATTATCGAAACGAAATTTCAGTTCTAATTAGATAGCCGCGTAACGGGCATCTACAGGAGTATAGCTAAGTGTTTTGCCTGTAGTCTCTGTTCTCGTGGAACGCAGAACAGTATTAGAGGCATGTTTTGTCAAGAGGATAAATCAAGAGCCAATTAATAAAATGAAAAGACTAGTGTTAATAGTTAAATACGAGTAGGTGAAATTAGTATTATAACATTCCAATAATTTGTTGCAAAAATTATTTTTAGAATTTTATATCCAAAAGCTTGAAAATTTTTCAAATGTTGTTTAAGTGGCCATAAAAAAACAGGACTGGTCAATAACGAACGGTGAATCCAATGTTAATAGGTACCCAAAGGGTGGGACAAGCTGTTTGTTTCTGTTGTCTCCGTAGAAAATGGTAGAACAATTGCAAAGTCGAGCAAAGTGCCAGTGCGTAGTGGGGGTTGTCAATGGTCAGATGCCTTTTCAGAATCTATATGGGTTTCGAGAGATTCTTCCAAGGAGATTGATGATTGTGTCCTCAAGCTTATTGTTGCAATGGTATAATCACTATTGCCGCTACGCACACGTTTTGTTTATTCTTCTGTTCCTTTAGTTTTATCAGCTTGAAATTTCTGTTTGGATTAGATTACTACATAAAATTATCATTATCACTTAACAGGGGTCATCAAGATCTGGCATCCTGGGGGAGGCCACTGTTAGTTTGACCAGCTATATGAGTTCAGGTGCTGCTATTCCACTTTCAATCCCACTGAACAAGTGCGTTCATGGGACTATTTTGCAAGTGAGTCATACAAAGGGCTGCATTTTTAATTTCATGGATGTTTGTGCGTCATTTTGGATTAGATTCAAAGTTGATTTTTCTCAAATTAAGGGAACATATAGAACTGGAAATCTGGAATTTTTTTATTTGACTGGAATTAACACAGAAAAGTTTTAATGCTAAAATTGTTTTTCATACACACTTGTTTTTCTTGTGATAATGTAATGTTACCGTTTAACTTAATAAAGTAGTCTTGGAGAAACATTATCACGGGAAAATAACTTCTTTTCTTCTTCCAAATGGATTATTCCGTTGTTACAAATTTCGTTTTCATTAACTTTACACACGATGATGGCACTGTTTGAGTCTATTTTCAACTTAATTTTCATTGAACTTTTCTTAATCGACTGATTGGTGCATGAGACTTGAATCTTATTTATTAAGATAGTGACCCCATCAGAGTACACACAGAATCAAGCAGTATTGTTTGGTTCATCTTTGCTCATTCAAGCAGTACAATAATGCTATTGCAGAAAAATGTATTGAACTTGAGAGTTGGGAATTCAGTGATTATACATTTTGCAGGTAACTGTGCAGTGCCTGACACCAAGCACGAAACTCAGGTTTGTATTGGAGGGTAGTGTTGTGTATTATAATATAATGTCAATTATTCTATTAAGAATTTATCTCCGACACCTTTTGCAGGGATCAAGAGAAAAATTTCCATTTGAAGGCCATCAAAGAAAATAATTATGATCTGGCTATCAAGTCCAATGAATCTGATTGTTCAAATGTCCAGAGTGTTGAATCTTCCTCAGTTGAAGATTTTGATTCTATCTTATCCCCCGGAGAAATTGAGACAAGGGTAAAATTACAACATTTTCCCTACTATAATCATATCTGTTTTGTTGCCTAAATGGTTATTTCTTCCCAGACATGCATATTGGTAAAATATAAGTCTGTTCTTAATAATTAATTATCAGGATGAGCTTTGCTGACTCAAATAATTCTCTAGTTTAGCTGTTTAGATTTAGGGTATCTGGAGTATAAGGAATTATTCATGGACTTTTGAACCTAAAGACATTGCATAATCTCCTCCAATTCCAATTTTAACTGGCTTTTTAAAATTACTATTTTAGTGATATTTTTTGCGTTGAGATGGTACCTGCATTTCATCGTAACGGATATTTTGAAAGTCATCCATTGAACAGAATTCTCTTCTTTCACGGTCCAGGAAGTCAAATAATTTCTTTATGTAGTGTAGCCATCAGCTAGCTTATGTTTGAGATGTGACGTAATTTACTGTTGGCCTGCCATTATCATCATAATGACGCGTTGTACTTGCACTTTGGCTGCAGGCAACAAGCTTCTCCGGATCTGTATCAAACTGCAGCCATAACTCAACTGAGGGTTCCACAGGTAGGGGAAATATTTCCCCAAGTATCAGTGACGGGCAGAGCCCGACCGGAAGACAAGGTTCAACCAGTTCCCAGAAAAGTGTATCCCATCACGATTACCCAGTGAATTCTTCTCTGTCAAATAATTCGTCATTTGATTCCCAGAATATGCAAGATATTAGTGCATTACCTTCTAAAACGGCCAATGCTTCTAATAACCGTCTGGAACCTGCAGAGGACACAAGTGAAGAGCTACGAGCAGAAGCGAAGATGTGGGAAATGAACGCCCGAAAGCTAATGGGTGATTTAGACATATTGAGGGCAGAATTCTCAGATCAATCTAAAAAACTGGCAGGTATGAAAATGGAACTTGCGGCGGCCCATGTAGAGCGTGATGATTTAAAAGAAGAAGTTGAACAGTTAAAATTGTCATTTGAGGGTTCAAGACTGAGGCAGAAAGCATCGGAAGATTCACTATCTCAAGGTGAATGTATTTCAGAAATTGAGAATGCTCTGAAAGAGGAATTGAAGTTCGAAAAAGAATCCAATGCCAACTTGTCTTCGCAACTAAAAAGGAGCCAAGAAGCAAATGTGGAGCTCGTTTCTGTTCTTCAAGAGCTGGAAGAGACCATAGAACAGCAGAAAATTGAGATGGAAAACCTTTCATCATTACCCTCGAAATTCAATGATCTGGAAAAATCTTTCCAAATAAGTACAGAAGGAAACAAGCGCTTAATGCAACAGCTAGAACAACTGGAGGAGTCGAAGAAAAATCTACTGGTCAAGGTGCAAGAGTTGGAAGATGCATTGGAGGACAAAGTTCGAGACACGGAACATTCGAAGATTCAAAATAACAAAACCCTTTCAGATATTGAAATGGAATATGAAGGCAAATTATCTGCTAAAGATAAAGAAATATTAAGTTTGAAAGCAAAGCTATTTGAATCTATCCCAGAAAGTCGTAATGTGGAGACTGTGTCCAAAAACTTAGGTGATGCAGATCTTTTGAGAGAAATTGAAGTACTGAAAGAGAAAGTTCAGGAACTTGAGGTAGACTGCAATGAACTAACAGAAGAAAACCTTGAGCTCTTATTCAAGCTAAAAGAAGCAAAGAAAAATTCGAAAGATGGTGGAGCATCTCAAGACCTTTTGTCAGACAAGGTAAAAGATCAATCTTCTACTAGCTTTGGGTCTGAGGTAAGCAACAATTTATTTCGAATATTCCATTCAGAAGACATGCTCCAAGGGAAAAACAACATTAAGAGTAATAATGATGTTCACATATCAATTCAAAGCCTTGAGACTTCAAAATTAGCTCTAGAAGTCCGAATCAAAGATTTGAATAAGGAACTAACTGATAAAACATCTGAGATAGGAAATCTTGAGGTTAATTTATCATACAAAGAAAAGGAGATTGGGGTTCTGCAAAGGCTAATGAGTGAGATAGAAGCCAAGGTTTATCATCTTGAACAAGAAAATAGTCAACTTGAGAAACAAATAGAGGCCATGACAAAAGAAAATAAGCATGAACTGGAGCTCAACATATCAGACATAGAACAGGAAAGGCAACAATTATCAATGCGTGTTTCTGTTTTAGAAGCTCAGTTGAGAGATTTGACAAATAAACAAGAGTTTCATTTAGCAGAACTCGAGAACTCTAGATCTCAAGCTGGAAGGCTTCAAGAGAAGATTATGGAGATGCAGACTGAGATAGATTCTTCAACAGAAGACTTGGAGGAAAAATTAAAGGTTGCACATTTTCGCTGGTCAGAGGCACAAGAAGAATGTCAGTATCTAAGAAGAGCAAACCAGAATTTACAAAATACCATAGAAAATCTTACGGAAGAATGCAGTTATGCCAAGAACATAAATGGAAGTTTGAGGCAGAAAATGTTGAAGTTAGAGGAATGTTGCTCCATTATGGGAGCAAGGTTAAGGGAATCAGATGAAAGATTCGCTAAGTGCTCTGAAAGAGTGGAACACCTGGAACAGAACTTCATTTTAATGCTGGAAGATATTGCATCAAAAGAGAAACATATAACTTCAGATTTAGATGGTCTTTTTGATGAAAATAGGAAGCATATGGAGCAGGGTGAAGTCTTATTGAATCAGATGCAAATGGAGAAGATGGTAGAAACTCAAAACCTAGAACTAGAAGTTGAGAACCTCAGTTTGAAACTTTCGACAGCATATGATGAAAAAGAGAGAATAGCTTCCAACGCTTTGCTTGAAGTATCCACATTACGTGCTGATAATGCCAAACTGGAATCTGCTTTTGTAGAAGCTCAATCTAAAGTGATTTTGGCTAGGAACGAGGTTGATACGGTGCAGTCTCAATATGAACAAAAGCTGAATGACCTAACAACTCAGGCTTCCGAATACAAAATTAGAGCGGAAATGCTGACGACTGAACGTGAAAATTTGTTGAAGCTGGTGGAAGACAGCAAATCAAGAGAGTTAAAATTCAAAAGTACTATAAATGCCCTTGAATTAAAACTTACAGTCACTGAATATGAAAGACAACAAATCATGGACGAATCTGGAAATTTAAAGGTTCAATTGCAGCAGACCCAGCAATTTGAAAATGAGAATTTAGCTCTAAAGAATGAGCTCGATGCTTTCAAATCTGAGAATGAGAGACTGGAAGCCTCATTACGCGTAACATCTGAACTATGTGAAGATTTGAAGGCGGATAAGACATCCCTCGAAGAAAGACTTCTGCAGTTGGAGAATGACTTAAAGGCAAGAGAAACGAGGTGTGTCCAGCAGGATACTGAGCTCAGTCACTGCAGAAGAATAAACAGGCAACATCAACAAACCATACAACAGCTTGAACAGGAAAAAGCTGAATTCGAAACAAAAGCCCAAGCCCTTGAAGAAGAATCGAAGCTGATTAAGGAACAAAAGAGAAATCAGGTCTCAAAGTTCAACAGGAAATCTTCACCTGTGCACGATGATCTGAAGACATCAAAAGTTAGTGCTCTTTTACATTAATGGCGTGATAACGTTGTGATGACAGGACTAATAATTTTCTTTCTTTGATTAAGCAGAATCTTGGGGTGAAGAGCACCAATCAACATCGCATTAATAGGAAAAAGTCATTAAAGAATGACAGCATCAAACATCAGAGTGAGGTGATATGTTTTGAACTTTTACTATATTGTAATATACTTCCATGTCAAAGGTTACAAAATATATTTTATAATTACAATTTTTGTGGATGGCGTCAAGTGATAATATCAAATAATGTAATATTACTGGAAATGGCAACTTCTCAATTTTTCTGTTTCATGTCTCCTTTTTCTTGTATAGGTAGAAACCGAACTTGAACTTCGTGATGAAAATGTTCATGCTGTTGAAGCAGATCCATTGTCAAAGACTCAATTGCTTGATAATGAACTAGCAAAAGCAAAAGAAGCCAATAATAACATTTATGAAGTTCAACTTCACAGGTTAGAGGAACATATTTCAAAGCTAAATAAAAGGAAAAATGGTTTTATTCTGTTTATATGACCCCCTTATGCTGATTCTTTTATTTGTTTGAAGCTTTTTCTTTCTATTTAGAACGATCCTTTAATTACAAAAGATATTTCTTACTAGGTGGGACTATTTTTAACCTTTCGAACAGGATAATTCCTGTCTTAAAAGACTATTTCAACATTGAATATATTCATGACATTGGATGCTGTACAGATTAGGATCAATTTATAAGTATCAAGTTATTTTTGACAAATTTGGCTGATGAAAAATTTAGAATTTCTTAGATATCTAACCGCCCAGATGTTTAGGATTAAGCGACGGGTTATTCGGCTCACAAAAATCATAATCAGGAAAAAAACACCACATACCCGTTTAGAGAAATCAAGGAAAATTTAAGTTACAGAAAGAGTTTTGTTTAAGTTTTGACTAGTGGGGATGTTCGGCAGGATGCCAACTTATCCCTTTCGCTTCTGCTAAAACCAAGAATGGTTTTTTATAAAAGAAAATAAAACAGAGAAAAAGGATAAAATAAATGGAGAAGAAATAAGAAGAGGAAAAAATTAAAGAAAACAGTGTTTTCATGCTTTCGCTGATATCCAGAATGAGTCAATCACAGTTAACGTCAAATTCATCAACAACTGATTATGTCTTCTTGATATGTAAGCAAAGGAGCCAGTTTTCACTGGATTGCCTATTGAGGCTCATATTTTGTTTCTTTTGGTTAAAACCAAGTTTAAAACAGTTGCAGTCAAAATGAAGTTGTCCAGCTAGGGATGCCGGTTGGAATGTCGTTTAAACGATATCACATTTACTCTGCTAATAATTTTGGAAACAATTGTTTTAATGCATGTCTTATTGCTCATTTGAAGTAATTATGTTATATATGTAACTCATTGTATATTTATCTCGCAGATCACCATCTAAAGGGCAAAACTTACCCGCAAATGGCCCAGTAAAATCTGTGGCTGAGGAACTAGTAACGAAAGAAAAATTTGAAAGAACAAAATCTATGCTAGAGGCAGATTTGAGAGATATTCAGGAGCGCTACTTCCACATGAGCCTTAAGTATGCTGAGGTGGAAGCTGAGCGTGAAGAACTTGTGATGAAGCTCAAGGCGACCAAGAACAAAAAAGGATGGCTTTCATAGAATTATGTTGATCAATCCAATGACCCTTTAATGGATTAGGGGCTGCCAATCTCGGGTAAATTTTCTCACGAATTTTAAGTGTCACAGATTTTTCAATCAACTAGAGGATTCACCTTTTGGCAATGACTCATTCATTGAATAGCATAATAGTAATAAAACTAATATGGTCTTTCTGTATTTTTTGTAAATATAAGAAATTTTGAAGGTAGCATTACATACACTTAGCAAGTGATATTGTAATTGTGTATTAGGTGATTGTGTATTAGGTGGTTGACACTTATTCTTCCTTGTACATTGCCCGAGGATCCAAATCCTTTTTGGTATCCCAAGGATTTATAGTTTTAATTTTCAAAACACAAAATTCATTATTTGGGCTGTAATATGTGCTGTATTATTCAACACAAAAAAAGGAACACATAAGATTAAAAAATGTTCTTCAGTTCACCAACTGACAGTTCCACTAACACAAGGGAGCAAGCAATTAGAATTTAGAAATACCTCGGATAGGTCTGCAACTCCCCATTGCGCTGACCCACTTTAAAAGCTCTCAATACGATTTTAAACTATTGGTATTGTAGTCAAAGATAGATAAAATTCCTTTAGCATCTTTGGACGAGAAATAAATGGTACAAAATAAGTGCGAACCTAAAAGATGATCCAAAATTTGGGACGAACTAGTCAATTGCAAAGAGTGCCAAACCAAACTGAATCATACATAAATTACAATTTCCAAACCTTTAATATAGTTGTTGGTGAATACTGAATACCCTGTCACTGGCCAAGTCGTATACTTATTTATAACCAACCATCTATTCTGGTAGGTTTTCTCTGTGACACTTTGTACCTAATTAATTTATTTGACAAACAAGTCAAATTCAAATAGTTATCAAACTTTTTCCAATATATATTATCGAAAAAATGTTTTCTTCGGCATTCACTTTTCGTAGTTACATTTTATTTTGCATAACAATAGAAAGAAACCTTATATTCTGTCCATGATGTCTCCCACTAACTGCATTGGTGGCTGTCTAGGCTCTCATTTCCTAGATATTCTATGATTTCGGAAGCCAAAATTAGAAAAAGGAAATTCCAACAACAATTCAGGTACAAGCATCATTCTGTTTCACTTTGGCATCAAATAATATTCTTTTGTTAAAGCATCCACTGATGCTAACCGGCGCATATGCTTTCCCCAATTACTACTACTTTTTTTTCTAAAACTGTAGTTTGTTTTCGAAAGAATTCCTTCATTGTTGAAATTAAAACCAATGCTTAGCTCACATAAACTGTGACTTTCTCACATAATTGCCTTTAAAACACCACTTTCTTTTGTTCTCCCCTTTTCTTCACCCCGATTAATGCAACTAAAAATGAAGGAAAAAGGCATTAATTAGGAGAAAGAATGAGGTTAGCTTAATGTTATTTGATTTCTGATTAATCTTCTGAAGCATACTTTCTGTAAAGTGCAAAAACAAATATAAGGTCCGTTATAAACTGTATTATGGACATTGGTTAAAAAACTAAAAATTCTTATTGGAAATTACCTAAGAATATATTAGAAATTGCCGTTATTTACTATTTGCCCATAAAAGTTTTTTCATTTTTTATTGTTCTAAATCGTAATAAGGACACGTGTTAGCATATTTCCCAAAAGTATTACTTCTTAATTTGATTTATAATAATTGTGATCACTAATCATTTAGAATCAAGACACTCTTAAACTCTTTTTAAAATATGTAAAATGAGGTTTGTTTTAACTTTGAAATTAAATACATTAAGACTGGTATCAAAATTCTCTTCAAAGACTAAAATCCTCTAGAGAAGAATGCAAGTATTACGCAAGCAAATTAACTATCAAACTTTTGATGTAAAAGACGGCAACGCAAATAATAAAGATGTTGCTGCTGTCACTAGGAATGTGAAAATCATACAATAAGAATAGCTATCTAAATCTGAGTTGGAACAGCTGAAGTGAACTATGTAGTTACCTAATATATCTCTGCCCAAATTAATGGTAAAATATTCAGAGGCATATGCCTCTCTTCGCATTGCATGCCACACAAGTTTACAATGCTCTTTAAATAATTTTAAAATTACAAAAATTTCTTTACAAAACCCCCAATACAAACATATCATTAGTTTTTATTGTAAGGGAAAGGGAAAGTGGGAAGGTTATATAAAGCATACTATGATAAAAGAAAAAGCATGTCAAGTACATTAAAATATTAAAAAGGGGGAAAATGTGTGACTTTACAAGCTCTTTTGTATTAAGATATACATGGTAAACATAATCAACCTTTCAAAAGTCTCACTCTCCATAAAATTGTCTACCACAAATTAATACAATTTATTAAACAAAAATTAATAGTGTATACAAAATAAATAATGATAAATGTGAACGCTACTTTTCTTTTGGACTTCCACTTCCATTATGCAAATTAAAATCAACACAAAACAATACGAAAAAGAGATAAACTAATGAAACAAGTTATCTTACTTTGTATTTCTGGAAACTGTATTGAAGCTTTAGAAGCCAAATCCAGCGAGTGGTGATCCAATCAGAACCATGATAACATAGTGGGTGGGTTTTAGAAGCACATAGTTCAATTCCCTTCTTCAAAGGCCTCCTAATAGCAATCCCAACTTTTGCTAACCCTTCTGAAATTGAGTGAGCAGTGAGGTATCACTCTTTTCATATAACTGTTGGATGGAGAATTGTGATCACAGCTATAATAATAAATCTCAAGTGTAGCAAAAAAGAAGACACGTGAGGGGAAAATGAAAAGGTGTTTGTCATATGTGGAACAAAGGAGGTGGGCAAGGGCATATGCTTTGGAAGATGCCATATTAGGAACCTCCATTTCACTCTTTATCACTTTAATTTATGTTCCCTTTAACAAAAAGTCACCCCCCAACACCACACAAGGTACTTAAGTCATCTCACTCCTTTATTGCCATTATGACCAACAAGAACCAAATCCTATAACACCCAATCCTGGCTTCAACTTCAAACCCTCTCTCAACTGCACCACCCCTTCCCAAACATGTAACACCCCTTCCAAACCTTTTCTCAGCCACCATGCCACCACTTCCTTCACCAATTTGGCACTTGGGGTGGTGGACATGTGATGGTGATTGGTGGCTATAATGGTATCCTCCATATCTTTCCATGCTCCTTTTCTTTCAAGGCTAACCAAAACCACCCTTCTTCAAGGTGGTTTCTCTTGGAAAGGGCAACTTCAATCCTTTGGCATTTTTCAACTCCTCCACCTCACTTCACACACTGTGATTTGGGATCTTGAGGGACCTCTCAGAATGGCAACACCCCTATTATGTGTACACCCTACTCTCCTCTCCTCTACTTCATTTCTTGTACCACAAAAGTTAGATACAGTTCCTTTCTGACTTTGGTATTGTTTTCTAATCAGAATTAGAGTTTTACTTGGTAATCTTCTTATATTGACATTTACTGCAAATCCTTATTACACAGATTATCAAAGTAAAACTCCAACTGATAAAAAAGTAATACAAAAAACACTTTAAGAACTGTATCCTAGTTTTGTCGTTTTTGTAGTCTTTGTTTGTCTTGTAATGATTTCAACTTCAAACTTTGTCTATCAGTATGATCATGCTTACTATAGACTCTATATTGTCCAATAAATGTACGTTTGGATAGGCCTTTGGCCAAAGTGTATTGTTGTGGTCGTTGATATGGTATAAGTAAAAAAATATGACTCTTGTCATGTTACTTTGCTAGTTTCTTTGCATCTTACATCATTATTCATGCTTCTTTTTTTTCTTCTCTTTATATTTTTCATAAATTATATAACTACATATGGCACAAACTCCATGTGGTAATCACATGGAGCATATAAAGAATGTCCCCACTATCTAGTGTTGTAAACGTGTTCTGCAACATTTCTTAGGAACCAACGACCATGTATTATCCCTTCATATGAAATGACCCATTTGATTGTAGTGCTTCATGTTTTCTATCTTCGTTTTCCCTGTTAAGCAGAAGATAACTACTACGATTATTTGCTTTTTTATTATTAAGGTTAGGACCATTTCTTTCTCTTTTTTTCTTCAATATATCTTTAAAAAAAACCATGTTATCATGTGAATTTTAGTGTTGTTGACTAGGAGACATGGTAGCTGATGATACTCGATTCATACGTCAGTGTTATGAAGGAAGTTGATTACAAATTTCTACACTTGCTATTGGTTGAAACTGAGACAGAACAGAACCATGTTTCTTTAGTTATTAGTCAATTACAAGGTAAAACGGGTCCCAAAATAAGTTCAGTGTCTTGGCATTTACGTCCAAATTTGGATCAAGTCTTAAATTCACTGACATAAAGTCCACATTAATTATATGATATGATGCTTTCTCAGCAATTTTGCATGTGTCTAGTTAGAGAGTTTAATTTCCATGCAACTACTCTGAGTGCGTTTCAAAATGCATTGTTATAGATATGAAAGGAAAATCAAAATTTGAAAACTTCTGTGTGTTTGAAGCAGAGACAATCACTTACATATGTCAAAGGTTAGGTACAGGCATGACAACGGGCGGGTGGCTGCGGGTTTTTGTCCCCCATCCCCCAACTTTATTAACCATTCCCATCTCAGCTCTATTCTGGTTGGGTTAAAAATTAAGTTCCATTCTTATTTTTATGGTGTTTAGAGTTCCCATCTGATTCTGATTTATATTATTTTAAAAAAGATAATTACATTTATAATAAAATAATTTTATTATATATTTTTTATATATAAATAAATATTTATAATTTTATAATTTATAATAATTATTAATTAAATATATTTTTTAATTTATTATATTTATATTAAAATATGTATGTAAAAAAATATTTAATCATTTATATATATATATAGAATATTTATAACATTATTATTATTATAACACTATATTCAAATATTTGAATACTTATTATAAAATATTATTATTATTATTATTATTATTATTATTATTATTATTATAATATTATATTCAAACATTTAATTACATATATAAATTAATTTATTTTTAAGTTGTCATTTAAAAATATAAAATATATAATTTATAATAAAATATTTAATAAGTTAATTTTAGTTTGAAATAATAAAAGTTTAAATTATTAATTCCTTTTAATCTTTTAAAATATAATTATTTTATTAAGATAAAATTTGATATAAAATAAATAAAAATAATAAGATAAAAAAAATATTACATAATAAAACATAATAAATATAAATTATAAATAAAATAATATTAGTTATTACTAAGATTTATGTAAAATATTTAAAAAAAGATAAAGAAAAAAATTAATTATGTGTTCATCAATTGGTTGAAAAGATTGAAAAAAATAAATAAATTGATGGGAGAGATTAAGAAAATGTGAAGAACCGAAAGGTAAAAAGAAAATAATGTAATAAATTAATTAATATAAAAGATTAAATAAGACAAAAAAATAAGAAAAATAGGTAGAAGAAAAATAAAAATGGTGAAATATAAAAAAATGACCTTATATGTAACAAAAAAATAAAAACTCTTAAAATATTAATATTTTTAAATTAAAATTTAAATATAAAGTCGAGCGAGGTCGGGAGTGGGGATTGCATTACTTATCCTCGCGTCTGTCTCTACTCCCGACTTTTTAAAGCGAAGAAAAACCGTCTCATCCCTAATCAACTCAGATTTTCCCGTCAAACTTGGGATGAAGACGGATTGGTCCACAAGTGGGGTTTAATTGTCATCCTAATGAGGTGAAGAATTGATTTTGATTTAGATAATTGACATGTTTGTTAAATCTTTAAAATTAAATTAAACTAAATTTTTTTTTCATTACGAATGGTGTGATCATGAAAAAAAATTGAGAGAATATTTAATTTATTGTAATGAAAAATTTTAAAGAAATTAAAATGAAAATCTTTAAACTTAAATAGCTAAATAACCGTACCAAATAAAAATAAGATAAAAAATAAATAAAGGTATATTTTACAGTAAATTAAAATTGATTTAATTAGGTAAAATATTATTTTATTAGTTTTAAATAATTATAGAAAAAGAATAATTAAAAATTTTCACCTTTTTTTTTACCTCTATTTTCGCATTATAAATACTCTGTTTTCTGTGTTTCCAAGTCTGAATGCACATAGGCTCTTAATCTTACAGAAGAAAATCCGGTACCGAGAATCATGTTTGAAAGGAAGAAAATAGAAGTTTATGAAAGTTGGTATTGAAAAAAAAAATGTCTATGTATCATTATTTCAAATTTGACAGGGAAGAATGAAGAAATTATTATTGAAAACCATTCAAGTTTTATCGTTATAAGAATTTGTGTCAAAATAATAATAAAATATAGCATATAAATTATGGTATCTCTTCGAGTTAACCTAAACTCGTTAAGAGAGTCCTTACGTCAACCAAGAGTCCTAATCCATTAACCCATTTAGGTATGTCCTCCATGGCTCATATCACTTTTTTTAATATACTTTTAAATAGAAGTAATTATGTCATATAATTATTATTTTTACTGTTATTAGGCGTGTTTAATTAGGATATAATGAATTATTATTCATCTCATAATCTCATAATTACATCATTTACTTATTAAATTAAATTTTTATAATTGATTTGTTATTCGAAATTTATATATATGAAAAAGTAAACGATTGATACGTGGAATGATTCGTGCATGCTATTGTTCATATTTGATTTATATATATATATATATATATATATATATATATATATATATATATATATATATATATATATTAATTTTATATATTTATTTATTTATTTTATATATGCTATGGATTACAGTTTCTCTGGCTCTTTAAAAAATACAGTGGATTGGTCATTTTAACGTTGTGTTTAAAAAAATGTTAACTATTTTAAAAATATTTATATATTAAAATTAATATAAAAAATTATAATTAAATATATTATATTTTTTATATTATTCAAATATATAAATATATTATAATATTATAATTTAAATTATAAATATTAATGAATTTAAGTTTTAATTATAATTAATTATTTTAATATATAAATAATAATTAATAAATAAAAAATTTAAAAATACTTATATAATTACATATATTTTAAAAAAATACATATACAAATTTTATATAAAAAAAATATTAACGCTAATTTGTCTATCTGTCATTTAACATGGTAGATTAGAATTTGTAATCCGTTCAATCCATCTCAAATTTTTTATAAACTAAAAGATAATCAAACTAAAACCAAATAGGTTAATCTCTTTTGATAATCCATTTTCAATTTATTTATGTTTTTATTGATTTTTAGGTTTTTTAATATATTATTATATAATAATTTTAAACCATTATTATTAATTAGATTTTTTGGTAATTTTTTTTAATTTAATTTAAAATCATTTGTTATTAGAGAGAGTGTAAAATAGTCACCCATTGTACTTATTGGAAACAAATATAAAAGATAAGAAGATAAATTATGAAATTAAAAATTAAAATAATTAATTAAAATAATATTCAATTAAAATTTATAATAATTAATTTTTTCTTTAAGATGAACTATTAATATTTTTATTTTAAAATTTACCAATTAAAATTATAAAAAAAAATGAGAAACAATGTATAATTATATAAAGTGTCAAATTTTTGTTTTTTAAAATTATTAGACGGACTAACATGTATAACCTCTCATTTATATGACACAGTGCAAGAAATTCAACTGTTTTCATAATTTGAAGAAGGACATAATGATATAAATAATAATAATAACTTTTTCTATTTTCTAAAGCTTTAATTATACTTAAGATGTAAAACCTATAAGATATTGGAATAAAAATGTACAATAAAAACTTAAGAATATAATTTGCAAAATTTTGGAAGCCAGAAAGGAAATGTAAATAATTTATTTTAAAAAAATTAGGATCAAATTCACTGTTTCAAAAATTGAAAGTGTAAATAATTTAAAATTAAATATTTTTTTAATAAAATAATAATTTTTAAAATGTTTCTTTCAAATAAATTACATTATTGTTTTTATTTACAAATGATGAAACTATGTATTCATTGAGAATGGGTAACTATTTTAATAATTTAATTTTAGTAAGTAGTATATATTATAAATCTTGAATTATTATTATTTTTGGATGTAAAAATAATTATATTACTCTCTGTCTCAATTTTAATCTATGTTTATAATAATTATCATCAATAAAGATAATATATCTATTGAAAAATATATTATTTTGTTAAAATTACCAAAAAATAATTTAGTTCTCCTTATTCTTCATGTATGTAAAAAACTTTAAATTAAAAGAATATACGAAGAATTCTATCAATCTTTTTTAATAAATTTTTATTCACTTATTTTTATTTCAAATAGAAAATTTAGTTCCACCTTTAAACAAAAGGTCGCATTAAATACCGAGTAAGTTCTAAAAAAAAATTATGATTTTAAATAAATCTTAACAAATAAAAAATATTGTCTGAATTTTTATAATTAATTAATCAATAGATTGAAAAAACTAAATTTTTATAATTTATCTTTTTATCCTTAATTATTTAAATAATTTTTTTTGATAAAATTTTAATTCTTAATTTTTAATTATTTATAACTTTGTTTAATTTTAAAAATATATTAAATTATTATCAAATTTTATTTATAAAAATTTGTTTATTTATTATTCTTCTCACTCATAAAAAGTGCACGACTTTTATCTATATATTTTAATATCACTATTTTATGTACTAACATAACAAATAATTATGGACGACTAGATTATAAAATAAACAAAACTACGTATAATTAATAATTAAGATTATGTAAAAAAAGAAGAAGCTAAAAGCTAAAATAAGAAATAATTGAAAATCATGGTTTTAAAATTGTAGAAAAAAAATTAGGGACTTCAATTATAAATCTGTAAATATAAGTAGGGATCAAAATTATAATTTTAAACAAATATTTAAACTAATAAACAAATATATAAAATTGATATTGATATATATAATAAAGAGAAAAAATGAAGACCCAAGTTTGTCTTTGAAGACACACAACTGCTTTGCATTGAGGTGGTGGTGACTACGGACTCACTTTGAGTAGTAATAGCGAGTCAGTGAGTCAAACTCGTGGACCCCTCGTCTCCAACCTTCTCCCATTCATTCCCATTCATCTTCTCAATCCACATCACTGCTCTCTTCAAAACCCTACACTCCCTCTTCTCCCTCGGATTCCATTTCCATGTCCTCTTCCTCCTAATCCCCTCCATTTCCTCTCCTTCCTCCATGGATTCTGCAGTAACCCTTCCCTCCCATTCCCAAAATCACACCTCCAGTCCACAGCAAGTCCGCATCAACGGCTTTCTTGTCTATACTCGCCGTAAGCGCTCTCTCCATTCCGCCAATGATGCCGCTAAGAGACTCAAAACTGAAGAAATTAAATCCGAAGCAGCTCTAGACGCCGTTTTCAAGCTCCCCAAGGTTGAGTCCCAAGACGGTGCCATTTTTGCGGAGAAAGATTTAACTAAGGCAGAATTGAATACCAAGAAAGAGATCGTCATGGTCAACAAGAAGCCCGTCACCGTCAAGGAACTATTCGAAACTGGTCTACTCGAAGGGATTCCAGTAGTTTACGTTGGTTGCAAGAAGGTTCCTTTCGGCATTACATTCCGTTTTATTTGTTTATTTGGCCACTCTCTTAATAATGTAGCAGATTACTGTGTGTTCCGGGTTTTGATTCTAACTAATTTTAGATTTGAATTTGGATATGGTTTGTTCGGGCATTTTTTATTTGTTTTTTTCAAAATTGGCCAGGTGCATTTTCTTACACAAAATCTAATCTGGTTTGGGGCAAGGACATTTCTTTGGTTGGGTAGTGACTGTACTTGTAGGCTGAAAAATTGCCTGACCAGATGGGGGATGTGGGTTAGTTCGAGGTTAATATTGTCAATGCAATTTAAATTTGAAATATTTTAGCTTTTAGAGATAAAAGATAAATTATAAAATGTGTTATAATAATTTTTTTATAGATTTAACTCGTGGTTATGGTCATATGTCTGCACAAATTTTAAATTATAATTTATAGAACTTATGGTCCATTTCTGCACATTCCGTAGCTCATTAGTCTCCTTATATATACTTTTTAAACATAATTAGTTCCTAAATCTAGGGATTAGAACAAAAAGATTATGTAAACTTAGGAATCAAGTAGTAACTAGTTAAACCTTGATTATGAAAAGAGTAAATGCACTATATATAATAACTCTTAAAAGGGTCAATAATTCAGATTGTAGTTTTTTTTTTGTAAGAATATGACTCTTTAAGTTTTATCCAGACTTTCATTATTTTTCAATCCAATCATGCACTTGCAGTTTGGTTTGATTAATTAATACGAATCATTTTCTTAATATGAATGATAATGTAAAATGTTATAGATTGACGCTATTGTTGAAATTAAGCTCTTATCAACAACCCATTATATATGTGCTTAACTTAATGTAGCCTTATTCATTATGATCCTATTAATGATTTTTGGTCTATGGGTCAATAGTGGTCTATTTTGAAGTATGATTTTCGTGAATAAACATACTGTCTCTGAGTTTTAATGTTGATATTGTAGGATTCAACTTCAGAATTGCGGGGTATAATTACAGATGGTGGAATCTTGTGCTCATGCCGACTGTGCAATGGATGCAAGGTAAGTTATCATTGTCCTTTTGCCTCTGGGTCAGGAAATCATGAGTACCCTCCTTGTTCCTTTTCTCATGCAGGTTATTCCACCTTCCCAATTTGAGATTCATGCATGCAACATATATAAGAGGGCAGCACAATATATTTGCCTTGAAAATGGGAAGAGCCTGCTTGAACTGTTGAGAGCATGCAGGGCAGCTCCGCTCCATACTTTGGAGACTACCATTCAAAATTTTGTTAGCTCTCCACCCGAAGAAAAATATTTTACTTGTAAAAGTTGCAGAGGTGAGGGCTTTGCTTTGGTCATGCTTGTTGTTCAGTTGTCATGCTGATCGTAGCATGTGATAAAATCATAAAACTAAACATGAAACTAATGATTATAATTTTTTTTTTTTAACTTTTTTGTCAATTGCCTTGATGCTTATTGGTACTAATTAATTGCATAGGATGCTTCCCTGCTTCCAATGTGGAAAGAGTGGGGCTTTTGTGTCTATCTTGCGTGGAATCAAGAAAATCTGAAAGCAGTTCTATTCATGCTGTTGGCAAAAGAGTCAGGTATTTATTTCTTCTGCTTGCTGAAATTTTGAAAAGCCATGCACTATGATTATTTATTTACTTATTTATAAAGTTGGTAATAATCTGTGACTTTCTATAACCATGGCTTTTGAAGGATAGAAGTTAGTGTTCATTAAAATGACATATAATTTTGGCCCTTAATATCCATTTTAAGCGTAGGAAACAGAAAAAATCCAACAAGTTATAAATTCAAGAATCGTGTGATAGCGTCTCAGGGGCTAATAAGCTCTTGTCGATTAAGAAGAAACTATTGATGGAAGGTATTTGGGAATCAGAAGGTGATGTTAACCCTGTTTGGGATGGGATGTCTAAGAATGTTCATAGAGTTTATGATTGGTCAATTATTGTAAGGTTAGGAATGAAACAACGAAATATGTGCTTGAGGCATGATCCAAAGCTTTTGAGGAGTTTTACTGAGAATCTTGAGACAGATAATAAAGAAGGCAAGATGCGTAATGATAAGCTTTACCAAAATAGGGAAAAGAATCAAGAGATTTCAAACAAATTAAAGATGAAGGGAAAGTTTTGGTTCTACATCAAGATATCAAAGATAGACGGGAGACAATATCTGTAAGTTTTTTGTTGGAGTGCACAAATATACATATAATATGAAAGGAATAAGAAATCCAAGTGGAATAGTAGAATGACATACTACTGCAGATAAGTTTGATATAGCTTGGGGTGTCAATCTAGTTGGGATTGTAAGCTATATAGTGATGCTTTTGCATACCTAGTTTTTTTGAAAAAAAAGGTAAAGTTGTTTGTTTTGGTGATATTATTGGAATTTGGAAATGTGTAGAACTACAGGGCTTTATTTGGCTAATTAAGTAATTTAATGGGATTTTAAGATCTAAGAAAATGTCATAATAGTATAGGAGAGACACTTTGGTTTCTGTATATATTTAAGAACAAAGGAGATATTCAAAATTGTGTAAATTACAGAGGAATAGAAACTGAGTGACAAAATGATATCATGATAAGAAGTGATTGAGCATATCTAAGAGAAATCGGATTCTAGAGCCGATTGACCTGAAAAAAAGTATATGATTGAGTGCTAAGAGAAGTGTTGTAGAAGGCTTTGAAAAAGTATACGGACAGACTTATATCTGGCTATACAAGCCATGTATGGTGAGATCATTGCTGGTGTGAGAACTTTAGGAATGGAGACTAGGGGCTTTACTGTAAGTACAGGTTTACATCAAGGCTTAACTTCAAATCTTGTTTAATCTAGTCTTGAATATGTTTTTGAGAAACATGCAAAGGATTTCCTTAAAGTATCCTATTGCAAATGATATAGTTTTTCTTAATGTATCAAAAGAAGATAATAACACTAAACTTGAGCTTAAGAGACAAACATTGGAATCAAAGGGTTTTCACTTGAATAGGGATACGACAAGGTATCTACATTACTATTTTAACAAAAAATTGGAGAGAGTATCTTACCCATGGTTATCAAACTTTTGGGCTAACTCATAAACCCTTCCGAGTGTATGAGTTTATTGTTGGGTCTGTGTAGACTTGGTCTTGAGCAAACTTTGTGGACTTGGTTCAAACTCGTGAGTTTGACATGAGTGAATGAAACACCCAAAATAACACTTCCCGGGTCGTTTGGTCCATTTTTGAAAGTTCAACCATATTTGGAAGTTTGAACCTGGATTTTGGTCTCACAAGCTTGTTCGCCTTCGTAGCTCTGTTCATTGTTGCTGTTGTTTGCACTCGCCACCGTTCGTACTCTTTGTCGTTCACCCTTGTTGTTGTTCATGCTCGTTATACGTTTGCCTTCATAACTTGTTGTCATTCGTGCTCAAAGATTGTGATTCTTGTTTGTGTTAGTGTTCAAGCTCACCATCGTTTTTGTCTGTGTCAGTGATTGCATTCACCGTCATCTCCATTTGCATTCACAATCATTGACGTGTAGGTCACCATTGTTGCAATATGTGTTGCAAATGTTTCTGTTTGGATCTGGTTGGTTCTTGCTTCACTGATTTAGTTTTGTGTGGTTCAATCTTTTTTTCTTTCAAATATTTTAATTTTGTTTGGTTCCTATTTCAAGTTTTTTTTTCTTGCATTTGGTTCCTGTTTGGTTTTGTGGTTCTTCTCACATTTTGTTTTTTCTTTTTTTGATTGGTCTCAAGTTTTTTTTTTTTTTTTTTCGAACCTTGTTCTATTCTCCTGTTGGCTTAATTTTATTTTTTATCTTGATTATTTTAGATATAAAGGTTGAAATTTTAAAATGTCTGGAAGTTGTTTAATTTCTTCCGGAAATTATATTTTATTGGTGTATTGTACGAATTTATTTATTTTAGTAGCATGGAATTGACATCATGCTTATATTTTTTTGTTAAATTGGTATGTTGTTTTTCACAAGAAATAGACTCTTACAAGTTGAGTTCATGAGTAGAGTCTACATATCTCCCACAAGTCTAAGGAGACTCTCAAATCTAATAACTTTGATCTTCCCATAGATATTTTTATTGAACTATATAGGATCAAGACAATGGAGAAATTAATGAGTATATTTTCATGGAAGATACTTGCCAGGTGATTAAAATTGACAAAAATGCCAGAGGTTATTTCTGTTTGCAAACTACCTATCAAGTTCAAAGGGAAGTTTTATCATACTACTATGAGACCAAGTATAATATCATTATGTTGGGTTTTAAAGGGTGAAGAGACCAAAGTGGGAGTAGAAAAACATAATTTGTTAAGATGAATTTATGGCTGCACAAGAAACAGCAAGATAGATAGTGTATATATAGGGAGATGTTATGGCACCTATGGAGGTACAGATGACAAAAAAATGGTTTAGGTGATTTAGATACAAGAAGAGAGGTCCCTGAAACACTGACAAGGAGAGTAGATTTTTACATAGTTTTTAATCATATGGAATGAGGTAAAGGGATACCAGGAAGAACATTTTAGGAAATTATTGAAAGGGATCTCACGTTGAATAATATTTCTGAGAACTTCGTTTTAAATTGAGTTCAATGACATCCCCTATAGCTGATTCATTTAGTTGGATTAGGCTATTGTTGCTGTTATGAGTATTTTACATCTTGGTTACAAATGCAGCTGCTATCAATCTGATGTGGGCCACTACAGGAATTATAAAAGAAAATGAAACATGTAACTTCTGCAATGGAATAATAGAGAAAAGACAAAGCTATTAAGTTGGTCCTCCAATGGTAGATGTGTCACCACAGTAGTCTTTCAACACTATGACTACAAAATGCTAAATTAGTTTGCCGAATAGTTAAATCATCACTGTAAATCCTCCAAAAAGTTAATTTGCTATCAAATTGGTTGCACAAAATATATATACTATCACTGTATTGATCTTTATGGAGAATAAAAGTGGTGATAAATATAAAATCTGAGGACTAATTTAGTGACAGATTAAACCTTGGAAGGACTAATAAAATCTATGATGGCTAAATTGTTGACCATGTGATGTGGGGACACAACTTCAAAAGACTAAATTGTTGACAACCAAATTTTTTAAATGACTAGTGCAATTTGGGGACACAACTTTCTCGAAAGAGAAATGAACTACCTCACTAGTTAGCTGATGACTGTTTTTTTTTATTATTTTTACTTTTTATTTTAGATTTGCTTGAATGGATATGGTTGTATTAGATTACTAAATTTTTATTTTTATTTTTTTACTGTTTAGTCTGTTAAATGATAAATTCTTTACTAAAGGGCTCCTCATAAAATAATTCCTTATAATAAAAAGTCATTCATTTTCTTGATTTTGGAAAGACATTTTACAATCTCAGCATCCTGAAATAAAATACACAAAGATTGGGATGGCTTAAAAACCTTACTCATTTCTAAGTTACTGGTTGACTACTGGTTTGTTTGTTTAATCCATCGATATTATAATATTTAATATACAGCTAATAATATCCTAATCTTAATTCTTAAGGCAATGTAATGAAATAAATCACAGCAGAATGAGATTGGACTAGAGCTAGATATGTTTTCTAGTTTAAAATGAAAGTGAAATAGTTGCAAAATATTGTGTATGGTTCAATGATAAGATTTTGAGCACTTTCCTCTGACTTCTTTAATTATTGTATTACACTATTTCAGGTCCCCTCGGCCAGTATTATTCTCCCGTTCATGTTCTTGTTGTACATCTGAGTTGTGTATATCTCCTCAAACTAAGAGACACTGGAAGACGAGAACAAAGTTGGTATTTATATCTATTTCATTTATAATGTAAACCACACAAATTTGAAAGTTTTTGTGGAACAATTTTGCACTAACTAATAAATTGTCGTTAAATCGTTTTGAACTTGGTGAATTTCAAAGAGATTTCTTATGAATTAATCATGTTTTCTTGCTGCTGTTTATATATTTTTAACTGACATGCCTATTTGAATATGTTATAAGTTCATCAAAACTGATTAGCAGCTCAAATTTTTTAAAGAGTGCTTTTGTGCCTATTGCATTGCACAAGAAAAGCTTGGTCAGCATGGAGAGTTTTATTTATTTATTATCATCCTTGATATTATTAGGATGACATAATTGCATGTTAAATTTTTATAGTCAAGTACTTTCTCCCCTTTTTATTGTGATCACTTTTTTTTACAAGGTCATCAAAATTAAAATTGAAGACTGCTCCAATTACTTCAAAGTGTTTATCTCCACAAAATAAAAGTCAGTGGAGGATCTCTAAAAGGTTAGTTCCTTTCTGTCACTTGTGTGTATATATATTACCTGTAATTGTTTTGCAAATATTCCTTACCAGTGATAATAATGATTTGTTCACCCAATATCTTGTTCTACAGGTATCAACGAATACATAAATTAATTTTTGAAGAGGATGGATTGCCTAATGGAGCTGAAGTAGCTTATTATGCTCGTGGACAGGTAGTTCACGTGTGAATTTCATGTAGAAATTATTGTAATTCTGTTATCCTGTTAACTGTTCCATTGTGGTTGGCAGAAATTGCTTGAGGGTATCAAAACACGATCTGGAATTGTCTGTAGATGTTGCAATACTGAGGTATTTTTTCTTGTCTTGTATCTTTGTGGGCATACCTCATGAATTTCCAATTTTGTATAGATAATACTTTCAAATTTTATTTGTTAAATGTTACGCAGATCAGCCCCTCACAGTTTGAGGTCCATGCAGGCTGGGCTTCACGCAGGAAACCGTGAGTTTTCTTCTTGTCAAGTTTCCAGAAGGGGATTATGATGTGGATATTTTTCTGTCAGATGAATATTCAGAGGTCTTTTGAATTGCTTGTACCTATGAGTTTCATGGAAGTATAATGTTTTTGGCAGTTATGCATACATCTACACATCAAATGGGGTGTCACTCCATGAGTTGGCAATATTTCTCTCAAAAGATCATAAATGCACTACAAAGCAGAATGATTATGCATGTGTTGTTTGTTGGGATGGTGGAAACCTGTTGCTCTGTGATGGATGTCCAAGGGCATTTCATAAAGGTCAGATTTAAATGACAAAAAGTTGATGAACAATTTATCTAGTTTTTATTGTGTTACAACATCCCATTCTACCCTTCCCAGTTTTCTTCCTCTGCCATCACCCCAAGAAGTTCTACCTACACTAAAGTCAAGTCCCCATTTTCATGTGACAATCCCTTGTTCAATACAAAGTCTAGTAGCACTTCTAGGAAATTTTCTGTTATGAGCCAAAAATAATAAAAAAAATTGAAAAATGTTATACGTGAACTAAAATTGAACTTCACTTATTTTACATGGACGAAAATTAGTTATTTCAAATTTTGGAAAGACTGTTATTTATGTGAAAAAAAAAATTCAAACTCATTTTAAAGGGGCTAAACATATTTAAGCCAATTATTGAACTTCAATTATAGAACTAGATGAAGTTTTTATGTTCATTACTGCCTAAATTTTTGTTTCATGATTTACTGAATTGGAAGTGACAGTTATGAAGATTATTATTTTTCTTTGATAAATTACCAGTCATCTTATAAGTGGATTTATCTGTTCTGATGTTTGGAAATGTACAGAATGTGCATCAGTATCAAGTATTCCCCGGGGTGAGTGGTACTGTCAAATTTGTCAACACACATTCCTCAGAGAAAGGCCTGTGTTATACAATGCAGATGCTGTGGCAGCTGGAAGGGTAGAAGGTGTTGATCCTATTGAGGAGATAGCCAAGAGATGCATTCGCATAGTAAAAGACATAGGAGCTGAGATTGGTGGATGTGTTTTATGCAGGTGATAATTGTATTGCATTAAAATGAATTAGAAAATAGAAGCAATGTATGGACTTCACTTGTCTTTCATCTAACGTTTTACTTCTTGAAATTAGCAAGGGTCATCATACTTCTACTTTGGTATTCAAGTTCAGTCATTGATTGCTGCAATAGATTCGTGATTTTCCAACTTTGTATATTTTAAAGAGAAAATTTGTGCATGTAGGAGTTCTGACTTCAGCAGATCAGGATTTGGTCCTCGCACAATTATAATCTGTGATCAGGTATGCATTGTAGTCCATTTTTATTTTGATAACACATGGATAGCCCTGTTAACATGTAAAGTCATGTTCTCAAGTTTGGAGAAGTGTATAATCAACATTGATTTCTGCTGGGTTCTTCAAGGAATTGATTTGATTATACTGAACTAACTTCATCTTGTTTTTTCATAAAACCCCTTTCTCCCCCACTTTATTTGTAGTGTGAAAAGGAATATCATGTTGGCTGCTTGAGAGATCATAAGATGGCATATTTGAAGGTATTTTAACATATTATGTTTATGAGGATACATTAGTTTGGATATAGACTTTAGCCTATGTGTGGAACCATTGACAGGAGTTGCCAGAAGGGGATTGGCTTTGTTGCAATGATTGCACCAGAATACATACTACTTTGGAGAATCTACTGGTTACCGTGGCTGAGAGACTCCCTGAATCTCTTTTGGATGTTATAAAGAAGAAGCATGTGGAAAGATGTTTAGAACCCCTTAATGAGATTGATGTAAGATGGAAACTTCTTAATGGAAAAATTGCATCTCCTGAAACAAGGCCTTTGCTTTTGGAGGCAGTGTCCATGTTTAATGTAAGTTCTGTCTGTTTGTATGAGTAGCTTCATGGCCCTCATCATCTTATAATTTTTTTACGAGTTGCTTCAATATCATCATTATATTATTATTTTCTTCTTTATCATTATTGCTATCTTCTTCCTCTTCTTTGGGTGTATGAATGTGATAAACTGATAATTCTTCTTTGTTCTCCAATGAATGGTAGAACTGCTTTGCATTTTTTTTATTTATGCCGTTTTCTTATTTTACTAAATTGATTCTTCTTTGTCACATGAATGATTTAACAGTTGTTGATATGTAAAATCCAATTTTAGGCAGTGTTATAAAGTTTTGCCCTCAGCATAAATGCACGTTCATGAGTTTATGGTTTTATATTCATTTTATTTCTGCCAAAAATTCTGACTGATTGATTTATGACAGTGTAAGACTTTTAGCACTCTTACACCATTTCAATCACTTTATATACAGAGTGAATTTTTTATCAATTTAACAATTGAATCATAATTATATATTTCAAATTGTAAAAAAATTAAACTATAATCAAATTGTTCTTGTTCTTATATATTTCAAAGAAAGGTATTATGTTAAATTTGATGTCTATCAATAAGGTATCATATAATTTTGGATTATTATAATATTATGTAGGTATGATATATATTAAAATATTTCACTCCAATTTTGGTTTTAAAATAATTTTATCCAATTATAAATGTAGTTGTCATAGTGGTGCTAGACACGACAGAGGAGTGATTATGGAGCACTTCTTCATTACAGTGTGCTATCTCACTCGTGAGAAACTCCAAAATAATGCACTGTTATTTTTCATTTGGGATGTCTGTTTTGAGTTTTTCATAAGATGATTAAAAAACTTAATACAGTTCTTGGACTTTTGGTCTTTAGACATCTCTTGCATGTTTCAGGAATGCTTTGATCCTATAGTTGATCCAGCTGCTGGACGTGACCTCATTCCTGCCATGGTTTATGGGTAAAAATTAATTAGAACATTTGTTTACTTTTCAATTTTCTCTTCAAGATTTTCTCAACTAGCTTCTCATTCACATACAGAAGGAATTTGCAGACTCAGGATTTTGGAGGAATGTATTGTGCATTATTGGTTGTCAAGTAAGAAGTGGTTCTCTACATTTAGCTTCTATAATTTCTTATGTTTCTTCCGTTGCTGTTCACATTTTGTTTCCTTTGAAATTGAAGTTCATCTGTGGTATCCGCGGGCATGCTTCGAATTTTTGGTAAAGATATTGCCGAACTCCCTTTAGTTGCAACAAGATATAAGAACCGTGGAAAGGTACGAGACCATCCTACTAACTTGGTTGGCATTTCTTAGGATAATAATATATCTCATCCACCCCCAAATTCTTTCAAAATATTCCTGTGGTGATTTCAAGTTAAGGTTTTGGAAGGTGCAAAGGACCTGTACTATAAATCTTATGCTACTAGTTCTGCAAATGTTTGATTTGCCAAGTCTCCAATTAATGCTTCGTAAAGTGAGCTATATCTCACAAATTCCCTTTTTATGTGTTAATAGACAATAGATGTAGTTCTGTGATCTCGACTATAACTGGCTACTGTCTTGCTTGCTTCATAATTTCTTCTCATTGGAGTGGGGTGTGGAAGTTTGATATATAGTTCTGTAATGATGATCTGAATAGTGGGATAACCAGATAATATGCTTCAGTTTTGTTATGTTATGATCACTTTCACCCATGTCTTGGTAGTGCACTATATATAATTATAATGGTTTACCCTTACAGGGCTACTTCCAAACACTTTTCTCGTGCATTGAGAGGCTGCTGGCTTTCATGAAAGTGAAAAATCTTGTGCTACCGGCTGCTGAAGAAGCAGAATCTATATGGACAGAAAAATTCGGGTTTAGCAAAATGAAACCCGATCAGGTATATGTTTTGCTCAAGACTTTTAAGCTAGGAGCTAAGTTAACAATTTCCCGCTTCATTCTCACCATTTTTTGTTTTACTCTGATCTACAATTACGTTTCTGTGGTTGATGATTTAGCTAGCTGCATTACTTTTGACAGGACTCACTCCCCCTACTCAAAATGATCGTAGTTTATTTTTGTGTTGCAGCTTACCAACTATAGAATGAACTGCCATCAGATCATGGCATTCAAAGGGACAATAATGCTTCATAAAACGGTGCCTCGTTGTCGGGTCATCAATACTCAATCATGAGAAATCTATATTCAAGAAAGCCAATCGTGAAAAGGGAAAACCCTAGCTTTCTCGTTACCATTTTTTTTTCATTCAACCTGTTCTGTACATGTATCGACATTAGGTTATTCGTAGCCATTGGTGTACCTATACATGACATTCGTTTAACATTTATAATGTCATTTTCCTATTTTAAGTTTTAGGTTGAGCATACACGAGTTCTTGATCTTGGACCTCTGCTTTGCTGCGGGCATATACAATGCTTTTTTATTTGAATGAGATGTTTCTGTTATGATTTAAAATTTTAGATGGGGCCATTGCGAGATCTAGAAACGCATTTTCTTTGACCCAATCCTAACACCTTTTAGCATTTTAATGTACAAGAAATATATTCTTTTAATACTTTTTTTATTATTGTTGGATAATATTTATTTGAACTTGAAAAAATTGTGATTTTTACACGTTTAACGAGATAAAAATGACGAGATCAAATATTATTATTTCATATATTTTTAAAATTATTGTTTTATGCTAATTTTGATTTATATGAATTAGGTTTCAAATAATTTAAAACAAATATAATTTATATTGTTCTATTTCTTTTATTTACTATTGTTTTGAAGTCCTGTGAACTAGTATCAAGAGAAATTCATTTGAAATTATGAGAGATCACATTAAAAAGCTTAAAATGTTTTTATGCATTAAGGATGTCATAATAGATATATTTCAATAAATATATTATGGCAGATCAATACTTCTAACTCTTTTAATAGTTAAATAGTAGGTTTGAATGAGAATTTTTTAGAAGGGTATATAAACTATTAAAACAATAAATAATACTACAATTATACATAACCTTTCAAAAATAAAATAACACTAAATGTTTTCTGTAAAAATATATAAATAAAATATTTAAAGATTTTCCGAGAAAGAAAAAATTAGAGGGCAAAATGTGACTGTGTAGCAATTAGGGAAACTATATCAACAAAGAGACATGAACATTTGAAATGATATAGTTTCCATATCTAACAAATTAAAAATCCCTAAATTCACAATAAAGTCAATGTTCAATTCCTACTAATAAAAAATAGTTTGACTTTATTGTGAGAATCTGACTTTCTATTAAAAAACTCAATTTAACATCGTAGATTTCTACATTTGAAAATAACCTAATAATATTCTGCTTGCAATCCTCAATAATTCAATAACTACCACCAAATAAAACAGTTTGTTATAGAGTGGTTCACTCAATCAAGTAATTATTATCTAATTCAAAAGCAATTGAGCCATTAAAAGAAGACATTGTCTAACTGACTTTCCTTTAATCTGGCAAAAAAAAAAAAAACGCTGAATTTTGACTTAAATTAACCTTTTCATATTCTAGAATTTTATTTTCTCATTTTTTTTTACCTACTTGTTTTGTAGTATCGATCAATTAACTTTACCCCCCACATTTTATTCAAATATTCCTTTTATTCATTCATATTTCTTTTATTTGCAAGAGTTATATTTGAAACACTGTTTAAGAAATCTGGACCTACACTCCAACTAATATAATAAAATAGAAGGAGTCAAGTAATTTTCTATTATCAAATAATTATTCTAAAATTATATTAATAAGTTTTTTTAATTGAGTTTACAATGTAATTTTTCTTTTTACTACAAGGGTACATAATTAAAATATCTAAAGAAGTTGATTTTAATAATTATTTTAATATGAAACGAAACCAAATTGAAGTTTAACGTATGAATTGCACGTAAATATTTTTGGAAAGTTATTCAATCATACATTTTCTGGTATAATTTTATAACTTTTATAATAACTATTTTAATAATCCTAAAAATAATTATATCATTATATTTTAGAACAAAAAATAAAATAAAGATAATAATTATTATCTTTAATGAATAATAATTTTGATTAAATAATATATTATTAATAAATAAAAAATAAATATAAAAAATGAAAGATTAAAATTTTAAATATGTAAACAAACATATTTAATAATTATTAAATTTAAGGATAAAATTATAAATATAATATAAATTAAAAATTTTGAAAATCACCATTTTACATTTTTCAAGAAATTCTTATTATGATTATCTTAATATATGATTTAATGAAGTAAATCAGTAGCTGAAACAAAACTAATTTAATTTAAGTCACCAAGAAAAAGAAAAATTAATGTATACATTCTAATGTTGTTTCATTATATCTTGAATTAAGCACGAAATGTTGAAGCGTGATGAACCTTCATCTTCTAGAGCCCTTCTAGAAATGTTTCCAAGTTCTGTTGTTCGGCTTCTCCTCTTGTCTCCTTCTTCTCCTCCCTCCATAGCCACCTCTATAGCTTCCATGATTTTAGTTTTCTTCACCAGAACCCCACTTTTGTTTTCATCACCAAACCTTACAGGGACCTCAACCCCTATCCTAACTCCAATCTTGAGAACTTCAACAATCAATTTTTCATTTAAAAATTGTTCAGCAAACAAAGGCCACGTTATCATTGGCACCCCAGAGCAAACACTTTCTATGGTGGAATTCCAGCCACAGTGAGTCAAGAATCCTCCAATTGCGGGGTGAGAGAGTATTAGCAGTTGTGGTGCCCATCCCTTAATCAAAAGACCTCTCCCTTTGACCCTTTCCTCAAAATTCTCATCTTCTAACCACTTTTCTAGCTCAGAAAAATTGTCTCCTATAGTTTTGACTACCCATATAAACGGTCTGTTTGATGCCTCCAAAGCCAACCCAAGTTCAATTAGTTGTGATGGAACAAGCCTACATAAGCTACCAAGACACACATAAATAACTGACCTTGGTGTGATTAAGTTGAGCCATTCCAAGCATAGTTTCTCTTCAATGGAAGGCTTGTTCCCTCTCTCAAACTTGTCCAAACTCTCCTTGTTACACAACGACACTGGACCTATGCACCAAACTTTCTTATTCATAACCTTCTCATACTCCTCAGCACACCCTTGTTCCAATCCTTCAAAGCTGTTTACCACAATCCCATAAGAAGACATTTCAGCCTCAACCATTTTGTCCCTGAAGTCATCCAAGTCAGGTAGAGAAACAAACGCCCCCGGAAGCTGTGCTCTTGTTATCTCTACCCTTTGAGGCAATCCAGGTATGACAAAAGGGTGCGAGTCAGAGTTGACAGAAAGATGAGCATTGGTGAGTTTGATATTGTAGGAGCTGAGCAATGAGAAGCAAGACATTCCATGGAAAACAAGCCTTGGAATGTTGAACTTGGAGGCTGTTATGGACGTCCAAGACAGACACTTGTCTGAGATAATACAACTTGGCGGAGAAACATGGCTCTGGAGGTATTGTTCCAAGGGCTCTTGAAGCATGTCAAGTGCATTGTAGAACTTTCTGAGGAGGGTTCTTGATGGCAAAGTGTCGAGATTCTCGCAGCCTAATGGAAGCCCCACTTGTTGGCAAGGAAATGGGATTTGCAAGAGGTGGATTGGAAGGCCAGATTGTGATGCTCTACAAATTGTTTGCTCAAACCTTAAGGCGTTTTGAGGGGTGCTGAGCAATGTTACAGCCACTCCTTGCTCGGACAAGATCTTTGCCATGTCTATCATGGGAATCATGTGGCCTTGAGCAAACAATGGAACCAACACAAAATGAGGTTGCATGTGTTGAAAGGCCATGTTGCTTTGGAAGCTGCTATGTGCCTTGTGTTGTGGGTTCGGTCTCTTTGATTATGGTGTAAATAAGCTTTGTCACATAGCTGGCTGAGATTGGGTTGCTTAAGTCTCAATTGCGGACCGACCTTGACTTTGAATTTTGAACGTGTCAAATGTGAGCATGCAGCTACCTTTCACATCAATATTTTAGGAGAAATAAATTAGAGAAGTGATGAAAATATATCCCATTCTTTTTTAATGAAATGTTAAAACAGAGTGAGAATGATAAATGTGAAGAGAAATAAAAATATATATAAAATAGTTAAATAAAAATAAGATGAAACAGAATTCTAGCATAATTTTTGGTTCATACTTATTCCGTGTGGATTCAATCAAGAGTATTTATGTGCTGCTTTGCCTTCATGCATTGTCGAATGAAAACATTGATTATGATTCATTTTTTAAAGTTAATTTTAACAATTGACTCTTGTCTCAAAATTTAAGCAATATATACATAGAGAGGTAATATTGATTTTGTTTCCAGACCACAAATTGACTAAAAGTTATATATAAAAATAGTTTTAATCTAAGAAAAAAAAGTTTACGTCAAGTTTTCTAATGACAAACTTACTTTTAAAATGAAAATATTTAAATATAAATTGTATTTATTCAAAACTATATAGGTTAATCCAAAAATAAAAATTGTGCGTGTTTTCGTTTTTCTGTAATGTATATGCATATGGCATACAACTTTGAGTCATATTTGGCATTTTAAAATTATAATTAAGAAGAAAATAAGTAACAACGTGAAGAGCAAACTCGTGTAATTGGTGATATTTATAATTTTTACTGTTATCTTTTTATATTTTTTGACGGATAAAATTGATCGATAAATATATATATATATATTACTATATATAGATTTGAAAAATCTATACGTATCACCTATTTATATTATATTTTTATTATTTATTATAATTTATTTTTATTATTTATTATAATTTTTAAAATCAGGATGGCTTAAGGCATTAGTTTGCTAAATCGATATACAATAAGATTGTATCATGAGTTTGTCTCATTTCTTCTGGCACGAAAGTGGAATGGGCGGGCGAAATTACGTGAGAGAAAGAACCTCTTGGTGTGTGTTGGTGGAGTTCCTCGGAGGACAGAAAAGCACTACTTAGTAAATGAAGAACCCGTTGCATGTTGTATTGACCGACCTATCTTCATTTCTAATTGTGATTAATGTAAAAAGTGTTTTTATTTGTAGAGAATTGTCACTCGCATAATTTGAACCTAATACCTTAGAATTAAAGGTTGATATTTCAACCACTAAACTACTAATGTTTTTTTGATAATAATGTATAAGTAAATTATATTTATATACAAATAAATGTATATCCGTATAAATATATAAATACAAATATATTTATATAGTTATATATTTGTATGTTGATGTGAGGACGCTCGAGGGTGATAGTGGAAATGACTCTGCTGAAGCGAAAATACGTTAAAGCTCACGAAAATTCACTCGCTTAAGCGAAAATTGGTATTTTTCGCTTGAACGAATGACGCGTTTCCCAAATTTATTTTATATTACTATATAAAAAAATTATAAAGATTATATTCCGTCATTAAATTATAAATCCATATAAAGAGACTCGCTCACAAATTTGACATCAAATTTTGAAAACTCACTTGACACACACTTTTACCTTCGAGCGTGCTCTCATATCCAACATATAAATATATATATATAAATATATAAATATATTTGTATTTATATATTTTATATTTATATATTTACACAAATATATATTTATTTGTATATAAATATAATTTATTTGTAAGTTATTATTAGAAAATTCTAGTAGTTTAGTGGTTGGAGTATCGGTCTCTAACTTTGAGGTGCTGAGTTCAAATCCTGCCGAGTGATAATTATCTTAAAAATAACAAATTATCGATTATATAAAATTGCTGATTATCCCTGGCAGGATTCGAACTCATTACCTTAGAGTTGGAAGCTAATATTCCAACCACTAAGCTACTACGATTTTTTTACAAATAAATATATAACGTCAGTTATAGTCTATAGTAGTGATTATCACTGACGTGATTCTAATCCATTACTTTAGAGTTGGAAGCTAATATTCCAACTACTAAGCTACTAAGATTTTATAATAATAATTTACAAATAAATGTATATTCGTGTAAACATATAAATACAAATATATTTATATATTTTGATATATTTATATAGTTATATATTTATAGGTTGGATGTGAGGGCGCTTATAGTCTATAGTAGTGATTATCAATGGCAGGATTATAATCCATTACTTTAGAGTTGAAAGCTAATACTCCAACTACTAAGCTACTAAGATTTTATAATAATAATTTACAAATAAATGTATATTCGTGTAAATATATAAATACAAATATATTTATATATTTTGATATATTTATATAGTTATATATTTATAGGTTGGATGTGAGGGCGCGCTCGACGGTGAAAGTATGTGTCATTTTCAAAATTTGATGTCAAATTTGTAAGCGAGTCTCTTTATATGAGTTTGTAATTTAATGACAGGATATAATCTTTATAATTTATTTATATAATGATATAAAATAATTTTTTTCTTTATTTATTTTTATTTTATTTAAATTTATTCTTTTTATCTTTTATTATTTAATTAAAATTCTTATATTAACATAGTTTTTTCAATATTAAAAATATTAATTTACCGATGGATATATCCGTTCGGTAATTAAAAATATTTTTTTACAAATAAATATATAGCGCGCTCAATGGTGAAAGTGTATGTCGAGTAACGTCGGTTATAATCTATAGTAGTGATTATCATTGGCAGGATTCTAATCCATTACTTTAGAGTTGAAAGCTAATACTCCAACTACTAAGCTACTAAGATTTTATAATAATAATTTACAAATAAATGTATATTCGTGTAAATATATAAATACAAATATATTTATATATTTTGATATATTTATATAGTTATATATTTATAGGTTGGATGTGAGGGCGCATTGACGGTGAAAGTGTGTGTCATTTTCAAAATTTGATGTCAAATTTGTGAGCGAGTCTCTTTATATGAGTTTGTAATTTAATGACAGGATATAATCTTTATAATTTATTTATATAATGATATAAAATAATTTTTTTCTTTATTTATTTTTATTTTATTTAAATTTATTCTTTTTATCTTTTATTATTTAATTAAAATTCTTATATTAACATAGTTTTTTCAATATTAAAAATATTAATTTACCGATGGATATATCCGTCGGTAATTATTTGTTCATTTATCGACGGATTTACCAACGGATATCCGTCGGTAATTATTTGTTTATTTACCGACGAATTTATCGATGGATATATCCATCGGTAATATATTATTTGTTTATTTACCGACGAATTTATCGACGGATATATCCATCGGTAATATATTATTAATTTACCGATAGATTTATCGATAGATATATCCGTCAGTAATTTATTGTTTATTTACCGACAGATATATCTGTCGGTAAGACCAAATTCCATAATTATTTTAAATCAGTCGATAATTAACCAACATAGAATTTACTCATTTCTACGACGAGTATTTGGTTAACCGACGTGAATTTTCAAAACTTTCAACAACGGTTTTCAAAACCGATGTAAAATCCTTTGATATTCAATGACGTCTGATTCAACAACGTTATTGTAACCGACGTTGAATGCCTTCTACATCCGACATAGAAAGGTTATTCTATAGTAATGTCATTTTCTGACGGTTACATATCCGTCGATAATTAATAATTTTTTTGTTGTGTTTGTATAAATAAAAGTAGTTTCAACAAGAGTGAAAATGGAAAATATACTAATTAAAATTTAAATAAATTACGTTAATTAATGCTTGATGGAAGAGTTTTTATAAAATTATTAGTTTTTTTATGGTGTGTTATAAATATAAAATGGAAAGCCTAAGTAGGTTAGTCCTTCCCCATCGATTGCTTTCAAAGAGAAATATCATAAAAAAAAAAGTGCAAATGATAACAGAGACTAATCCAAAACTCATTAAAAACAATTCCCCTAGAATAACGCAAATATCTATTCAGACATATTACTTCTGTTCTTAAAAAATTTCTAGATTAATAAACATAGGCTTGCTATCGATACCTAAATTAACAAAAATTGTCAGCATATTTGTCTCCTTCTCTATAGATGTGTAATGTGGGACACATGAACTTGCATATTTTTCTTTATTTTCAGACTTTTCAATCATCTACCTCTAATACTCCAAGGTATCATATTAACATTTGAGAAAGTCAACTCTACAAATTTCGAACCCGTTTCAATCCATAGTATATTCCAACCTTTGTTGTAGGTCATTTCAATGATTATAGTTGTAACGACCTTAGAAATCGTTACTATAATGATACCTTCACAAAATAGTAAACAAGTAAGTAACAACATCTATATTACATTATATTACTATAATTGTAATATAGACTGAAATTCTGGTTCATTGGTGGAACCTCAAAACATAGTAACATAATTTATTTATATATTATACATGGAAAAGTAGCTCCCACAAAGCTACCCCACTGAACTATCCCTACTGTCCAGTAGTCGCATTTCCACCTCTCAACTCCTGATCTGCTCCCACATAAAAGTGATCATCGCAGTCCCATCCATATGGAAAAATAGGGGTAAGTATTAAATCATTCGATATAATAAATCAAGTATAGAAGTAATAATTACATATTATCATCAATTACAAATCATCAATACGCTAAGACGCCTTCCGGAACTCTACCCCAACTATGCCCGAACTCAGAGGCTATCATTTGTGGGCACATTGTGATCGGCACCTACAGTACCATTCTAACCACCCTCCACACAAAGTAGGATTACTGGCGCCCTTCATCACTTATACTGGAGTACCCTTCCGAGCGCGCCACCAGTCATCCCCCCCATCGACTTCTCACCACCTGATCTCGTAGTCTACCTGACCCGAT